CGTGACTCTAGCCAAAGGTAATTTATTTTTATTTATTTTGTTTGTTTCTTTATTTTTTAAATTTTTTTAGAGACGGGGTCTCACTATGTTGCCTAGGCTGGTCTTAAACTCTTGGACTCAAGCAATCCACCCACCTCAGCCTTCCGTATCAAAGTGCTGAGATTACAGGCATGAGCTGCTGTGCCCAGACCAAAGATGATAATTTCTTAATATCAATTTGACCATGTTCAGATTTCCTTCATCATCTCCTAAATCTTTTTCTCTCCCAGTTGGTTTGTTCAAATTAGGGTATAGACAAGATTCATATGCTGCATTTAAGTCATGTGTCCCTTACATCTTTTTTTTTTTTTGAGACAGAGTCTTGCTCTGTTACCCAGGCTGGTGTGCAGTGGCACGATCTTAGCTCACTGCAACCTCTGCCTCCCGGGTTCAAGGGATTCTTCTGCCTCATCCTCCCATGTAGCTGGGATTACAGGCGCACACCACCATGCCCGGCTAATTTTTGTGTTTTTAGTAGAGACGGGGTTTCACTACGTTGGACAGACTGGTCTCAAACTCCTGACCTCAGGTGATACACCCCCCTCAGCCTCCCAAAGTGCTGGGATTACAGGCATGAGCCACCACACGCAGCCCTATCAATTTTTATTTTTAAGTTTTTTCCCCCTTTTGTTCTACAATGTTTTTGTTTGTTTGTTTGTTTTTGAGAAGCAGTCTCCCTCTTATTGCCGAGGCTGGAGTGCAATGGTGCTATCTCGGCTCACTGCAACCTCCACCTCCTAGGTTCAAGTGATTCTTCTGCCTCATCCTCCCGAGTAGCTGGGATTACAGGCATGCGCCACTACACCCAACTAATTTTGTATTTTTAGTAGAGATGAAGTTTCTCCATGTCGGTCAGGCTGGTCTCAAACTCCTGACCTTAAGTGATCTGCCCAACTCAGCCTCCCAAAGTGCTGGGATTACAGGCATGAGCCACCGAGCCCAGCTTTTCCACAGTGTTGTTTTTTTTTTTTTTTTTTTTTTAAGAAACTGGGTTATCAGTTTTCAAGAAGAATTTCTCATAGGAAATGCCAAGGGTGGGGGGGATTACTAATGTCTTTCCTGTAGAATCCTTTATCATGCTTTTCTGTGCCTTTTCGTCTGCCTGCAAACTGGTAGTTAGATCTAGATTCTGGAGTTTTAATCAGGCTTGGGGTTGCTTTTTGGCAAGAATGCTTCGGTGTGGGGCTGTGTGCATTCTGGTGCATCAAGTCTGTAGACGCTTGTCTCTTCTCTCTCTTGGTGTTGGACAGACCCATGGGTTCATGGGTCGTGAGCCTGATTCACCACCATAAAGTTCCCCATCAGCATTTCACCTGCCAGTTTTGGCCGTCATTATTGTGAAGGGGATTAGAATGTGCCACTCCAAAGTATACTGCTTTAGCCTAAGGATTATCTTGAGCTGAAGGCATTTAAGAAGCAGCAGACAGGGGAGGAACTGTCCTCTCCCTTTCTGCCAAAAGCAGGGCATACATTTCCCATGGGTAGAGGAGATGAACTGGAGATTCAAATCTGCATAGGCTAACCTTACCAAATAACCCTTATCTTCCATTAATTTCCCCTGTTTGTTTTACTTACCCTCCCACAAGTTACCTCACCTGGATGTCCAAATTCCTTTTTCATTGTTTTGTCACTTTTCCACATTTTTTTTTTTTTCTTTTTTTAGGCAGAGCCTTGCTGGGATTACAGGTGTGAGCCACCGCACCCAGCCTACTTTTCCACAATTTGTCACCCTTTGTTAAAACACTAGATGAGCCTCCAGCCTGACCACTTCTTTAGGCTTTCACTTCTTTTCTTCACAGCTTCAGGATGCATGCATAATATGCCTTTTCTTCTGCTAATCTATCTTTTGTATCTTTTGTTAATTTTTTTTTTTTTTTTTTTGAGATGGAGTCTTGCTTTGTAACCCAGGCTGGAGTGCAGTTGTATGATCTTGGCTTACTGCTACCTCTGACTCCCGGGTTCAAGCAGTTCCCTGTCTCAGCCTCCTGAGTAGCTGGGACTACAGGCCCACACCACCATGCCCAGCTAATTTTTATATTTTTAGTAGAGACGGGATTCACTGTGTTGGTCTGGCTGGTCTTGAACTCCTGACCTCAGGTGATCCACCCACCTTGGCCTACCAAAGTGCTGGGTTTACAGGTGTGAGCCACCATGCCTGGCCTCTTGCTAATTTAATTAGGATGCCACAGCCGCTGAACCTAAGACAGCAGAGGAAAAGGTTTCTTTCCTTCCCTACAGATGCTAGCCTACATTATTTTATTAAGTTTTGATAGATGATAATATTTTGTTATTTCTTTTGCATTTACTAGCTTCAAATTCTTGTATAAAGAAAAATTGTGCCAGCCGGGCATGAGCTCTCATGCCTGTAATTTCAACACTGTGGGAGGCCAAGGCCAGAGGATCACTTGAGGTCAGGAGTTCAAGACCACCCTAGGCAACATAGCAAGACCCCCCCCATCTCTACAAAAAATTTATAAATTAGCCAGATGTGGTGGCTTGTGCCTGTAATTCCAACTATTCAGGGGGCTGAGGCAGGAGGATTGCTTGAGTCAGGGAAGTGAAGTCTTCCTTGTCAAGATCATGCCACTGTACTCCAGCCTGGGTGACAGAGACCTGTCTCAAAAAACAAAAAAACAGAGAGAGAGAGAAACTGTTTACTGTGAAGTATAGTTCATAGAGGAAAGTCAGGATGGATGCTTGCTTGATTCATTTCTTTTATTTACCAGTTTTTTTTTTTTTTTTTTTTTTTAGACGGAGTTTCGCTCTTGTTACCCAGGCTGGAGTGCAATGGCGCGATCTCGGCTCACCGCAACCTCCGGCCCCTGGGTTCAGGCAATTCTCCTGCCTCAGCCTCCTGAGTAGCTGGGATTACAGGCATGCGCCACCATGCCCAGCTAATTTTTTGTAATTTTTAGTAGAGACGGGGTTTCACCATGTTGACCAGGATGGTCTCGATCTGTTGACCTCATGATCCACCCGCCTCGGCCTCCCAAAGTGCTGGGATTACAGGCTTGAGCCACCACGCCCGGCCTATTTACCAGTTTTTAAAATGAGTTGATTCCCAGCAGCCTCCAAAGGTAATCAGTGAGTTTGGCTTTGGTGTTTAGTCCCTTTGTGTCCTGGCTGAGTACGACAAGGACTTTTTTGTTTTTTTTTAGTTTCTTTATGAATGCCAAACTCAGAGTTACTTTCCCTAATTTTCTTATCCTGGTGCAAAACTATTTCCTCCCTTCCGTCATATTTAAACACATCGTTCTGGGGTATCTGGTGCCTCCTCCCCGGGTGCTTCCTTTATCGTCAGCGGCAGGTGGGTCTGCATAGCACTCAACATTATGTCTAAGGCCGTGCTTCTCAAATGTTACTGCACATGTGAATCTTCTGGGGGCAGGGGTCTTGTTAAAATTCTCATTCATGGCCGGGCTTGGTGGCTTGAGCCTGTAATCCCAGCACTTTGGGAGGCCGAGGCGGATGGATCATGAGGTCAAGAGATCGAGATCATTCTGGTCAACAAGGTGAAACCCGATGGGGTTTTGTATTTTTCTACTAAAAATACAAAAATTAGCTGGGCATGGTGGTGCACGCCTATAGTCCCAGCTACTCAGGAGGCTGAGGCAGGAGAATCACTTGAACCCAGGAGGCGGAGGTTGTGAGATCGCGCCATTGCACTCCAACCTGGGTAACGAGCAAAACTCCATCTCAAAAACAAAAAACAAAAAAAATTCTCCTTCATTAGCTCTGGGTGGGCAGAGCTTCTGCTTTTTTTTTTTTTTGAGACGGAGTCTTGCTCTGTCACCAGGCTGGAGTACAGTGGCGTGATCTCCGCTCACTGCAGACTCCGCCTCCCAGGTTCAAGCGATTCTCCTGCCTTAGCCTCCTGAGTAGCTGGGCATGGTGCCAACCAGGCACTCAACACTTTGGGAGGCCAAGGTCAGAGGCCCACACCCAGCTAATTTTTTAGTAGAGACAGGGTTTCACCATGTTGGCCAGGATAGTCTCTATATCTTGACCTCGTGATCCACCCACCTCAGCTTCCCAAAGTGCTGGGATTACAGGCATGAGCCACCATGCCGGGCCTGAGCTTCTGCATTTCTAGCAAGCAAGCACCAAGTGATGGTGATGCTGCTGGCTCGGGGACCACATTCTGAGTAGCAAAAGGGTGTGGTCAATGTGAGAAGTCAGTTTCATCTACTCAGTTAAGAAGTACCCACTCTGGGTCAGTGCATGGACTAGGCCCTACCACTTTACAATGCAAAGAGTTTTTTGGTGTTTTTGTTTGCTTTACTCGAGAGTTTTGATTTTTAATTTATTCTTTTGAATACGTAATTTGTACATGGTGAAAAAATTGTTCATAAAATCAAAAAAGGCACACAGTGAAAGTCTCTAACTCCCCAAAAGTGATCACTGTTACTTCTTAAGTTTTATTCCAGAGATATTTTATGCAGATAATATCACATATTTGTACCATATCTTTAACCACATGGCAGCCTAATGATCCGACATTCTTTTTTCATTTTACTCTATCTTGGAGATTGTTTCATAGCTCAGCATATATCTGTTCATCCTGTTGAACAGGTGGTATAGCGTCCATACAAGATGCATTTGTTGGCCAGGCATAGTAGCTCACACCTGTAATCCCAGCACTTTGGGAGGCCAATGCAGGCAGATCACCTGAGGTCAGGAATTCAAGACCAAACTGGCCAACAACCTTTCTCTACTAAAAATACAAAAATTAGCTGGACATGGTGGCGGGTGCCTATAGTCCCAGCTTCTCGGGAGGCTGAGGCAGGAGAATCATTTGAACTTGGGTGATGGAGGTTGCAGTGAGCTGAGATTGCACCACTGCACTCCAGCCTGGACTACAGAGTGAGACTCCCTCTCAAAAGAAAAAAAAAGATGCACTTGTTGTTTTTATAAAGTATAAAATGAAGAGTGACTAATCCTGGCTTCGTCATCCTGCACAGGTCATCCCTTGGGAGAACAAGTGCTGTGTCTTCCGTTCTTTGAATCCTGTGAATGGCCTGACCCATGGTTTGTATATTTTGTCAATTTCACATGATCTAGGATACATCTATCACTCATGTACACAAGTCTGTCTACACTGCACTTCGTCTTTTTGTTTTTCTATTTTTGGTTCAGACCGCAGTCTCTCTAGACTCCAATTGTGTCTTGACTCTGTATTCTGTCAGCACTTGCAAATTGGTCTGAGAGTCTCTGGCTTTAGTAATATGTTATTGTGAAATACAGCATGCATAAGTGTGTATAAAATGTATGTGTTTAAAGAAGAAATGCAACGTTATATAGAAGTGGCTTCTGTCACCCCCTTATATTCTACGTGCCACTTTCTTATCACATGGGATGTCTCCATCGAAGAGATAACCACTATCCTGATTTTGGGTGAATCATTCTCTAACTTTCCTTTTGGAAGTGGTTCTCAGACTTTAGTGAATCAGACTTGCTTAGAGGACTTGTTAAAACACAGATTGCTGGGCCCCACCCCTTGTTTCGGATTTAGTAGATCTAGAGAGGGGCCCAAGAATTTGCATTTCTTTTCAGTTCCCAGGGGATCCCGGTGCTGCCAGCCTGGGGACCACACTTTGAGAACTTCCACCTTATCTCAGGGATACTCTTCACTTGTGTATCATGACTCCCAATCCTCTGAAGACGCTTTACTCCTCTTCTAAAACCTAGTCACTTGATTGGTGTCCCTTAAGCCCCTTCCCTCTTCCTCCTGTACGCCGTTTCCTATCACCCGGTTTGTGAGTAGGCAATCTTCGCTAAGTATTTCAGTTGATTTCGGCATTTGACCACTGTCCTTGATTTTCTTCTCTGTTGGCCCTTCCATTTATAGCTTTCCTCTCCTTTGTGTGTATTGGAAGGAAGAGCATAAGCAACTTTTTTTGGAGGCAGAGTCTTGCTCTGTCTCTGAGGCTGGAGTGTAGTGGCACAATTTCGGCTCACTGCAGCCTCTGTCTCCAGGGTTCAAGCGATTCTCGTGCCTCGGCTTCCTGAGTAGCTGGGATTTCACATGATCTAGCATAGATCCAGGATATGCATCACCACGTCCGGCTCATTTTTGTATTTTTACTAGAGACAGGGTTTCACCCTGTTGGCCAGGCTGGTCTCAAACTCCTGACCTCATGTGATCTGCCTGCCTCAGTCTCCCAAAGTGCTGGGATTACAGGTGTGAGCCAGCGTGCCCAGCCAGCAACATTTACATGTCTTATTCACCTGGTCTGTAAGCACCTTGAAAGTAGGAACCCAGTTTCATTTCCCTTGAAGCGTACGTCCTCAGTTAAACTGCAGGTCATGGTTTACAAACTCAGCTGCTTATAAAGGCCAATGGCAGTGTAAGCAAGTGAAGCCTGCCAAGTAGAAACTTACCTGGGAGCCATGTCCTGTGCAAGGAGGGCAGCTGCTGCTTGGCTTTAAGCCAGTCGCACGTCCACTATTCTCTAATTTTCCCAGTTTTCAAGAGAAACCAGAAATAATTCCAACTAATTTAGTATTTTAAGTATACAAAGTGGATCACAGAAAATACATCTATAGGAAGCAAAACTAATCCTTCTGTGTTTCAGAATCTTTGCAGTGGGTGGTGGATGGGTGGATGGATGGATGGATGGGTGGGCGGGTGAATGAGTGAATCTGGGTCATTGTGGCAGCTCTCTGGTTGAGACTGGGGGAGTCGCAATACATTATCCACTGTATGCCTGGCGGTGTGCAAGTTTTATGTACTTATCTCATTTGACCTTCGTAACACCGCAGGGTGGTTATTATCATTCTTATTTATTTCCATACTCATTTCACGGATAAAGAAGCAGTGGCTCATGCCTGTAATCCCATCACTTTGGGAGGCCGAGGTAGTTCGAGACCAGCCTGACCAATGTGGTGAAACCCATCTCTACTAAAAATACAAAAATTAACTGGGTGTGGTGGCGAGTGCCTGTAATCCCAGCTCCTCAGGAGGCTGAGGCAGGAGAATTGCTTGAACCCGGGAGACAGAGGTTACAGTGAGCCGACATCATGCCAGTGCACTCCAGCCTGAGTGACAGAGCAAGACCCTGAAAGACTCTCGCCGTGGTCACATTCTCGCTCAGGGTCACACTGCTGGTTTTCTTTATTTAGAGCCTACCTAATTCCAGAAAAAGGATTTCAGATGGGTTCATATGATTTAAGCTGGGTCCTGAACCTTAGATTTTAGATAACTCTGTTATACAAAGTCGCCATTACAGAAGGAATCAGGTTTTCAGAAGGTGCGTGGGGAAGAGGTCGGGGAGCAGGTTTGATTTGTGAAAGGAAAATAAAAACTTGGGACCCCAATTCACTCTGTCGAAAGGAAAAAAGATAAGCTGAAATTTGAGACATGCAAGAAGCTGCCTTTCCTTTTGTTCCTAAGGATAGCTACAGGTAAAATGTTCAATATCTCAACAGATAGCTACTCTGTGTTCACCTTATCTTATGTAAAGTGCCAGATTTACTGACCGTGAGACAAATCTATAACTATTTCCCTACCTGCTCCTTTTCTCTTATAACATGTGGATTCAGTAATATGATCATGCCCTCCCTCTTTCTCCTCTTTATCCCTTTAAATACTGAAGATCTCAAAATCGTTTTTGGAGAAAAGTACAGACCAGACTGTTTCTCTGATTCTGTATTTTTTCTCCCAGGCATTATCCTTAACCTTGGCAAAATAAACTACTAAATCAATTGAGACATATCTCAGATACTTTTTGGTTTACAAATTGGCAACCAATGAATGGCCTGAGTGAAGGTGTCCCTGACCTCCAGCAAATCTATCGATGCTTGGTACTAGTTTGAGCTGTCTTTATTGTTCAAACCAACAGGAGAGTTTTCTGGGTCCAGGAGCTCCCACTCCAGAGAATGGGACCTGTCTCAGATACTTTCTGGTTTACAGATTTCTTGGGCATCTTACTAAGCAAGTCACAGCTTCATGCTCCTCAGAGATCTCAGCCAACAGGAAGGAGCTAAGATACGAGGGGGTCTCTTGCCATCTTGGTGTGTCCTTTCTATTTCCTCCTATCTCCCTACTTCCTCTCCTCTCAGAAGTCAAGATTTCTACCTACCAGCCTTGAGGCTCATTTCATCTTAATTTCTTTGCAAAGCCCAGTAGGAGAAGGACAAAGACACAGATACAGGAGCTGGTGGGTGGAAAATGTTTTATTGGACTTCTTGAGCCAGGAAAGAGTTGTGGTAGGCTGAGAATCAGAGCTCACACTAGCCCCCTCTTTCAGTGGAGGTCATGGTCACTGGGCATCAGGAGTTACGCTCCTCAGTCCTTTCAGCTGGAGGGAGAGGGGGGTCAGGGTTAGATAGGGAACACCTGGGTGCCCAGTATAGGATGGCAGGGATGGAAAGGAATTTCTGCTTCAGTGTGAGTTCCCATCCTCCTCTATATGTAGTAGCTGAGATTCCCCTTCAGTTTGATGAGAAGGTTTATCATCCTTTCCCTGTCCCCACTCCGTCTCCCATATCCTCTGCTGCTTCCTTGCCCCCAAGCTCTATATCCTCGTAATGCCCACACCTCATACCTTAGGAAAGGCATCCCAGTTGAGGAAAGGAAGTTTCCTTTTGATAGACTAAAAGAAAGAGAAAGAGAGTGATGTGTTGCAGGTCGGCCGGGCATGGAGCAGTAAGCGGTCCCTGAATGAGCTCCCACAGTAACAACAGCAACGATAATGTTATTGCTTTATCATGACTTAATCAGGAGCTAATATTTCCCGAGGCCGTATTGCGTGCCTGCCTTGTGAGAACTGCTCTACAAGCATGATTTCAGTGGGTTTTACAGCAACCGTTTGTGGTGGGAACTGTCATCATCCCACATCACAGATGAGGAAGCCGAGGCCAAGAGAACCAAAGGCGTTTGCATAAGGTCGTCTGTTCAGTCAGTGCAGAGCCAGGGGATTCAGGCTCCAGCTCTGTCTCTGACTTAGCCTTCTAAGTGCGGGAGGGCCTCAGTTTATTTGTAGAGGATGAGGGGATTCAAATAAAATCTTGACTGATTAGGCTCTTCCTCTTCTGGAATTGTCTTTGGGGCCGTGCTCCTCCACTGCCATCTTAGAAAAATGCAGGTAGCCAGGACAGTCGCCAGGGGAAGCTTTCTTAGGCTGACAGCCCATTGGGCAGCACCAAGGCAGGGCGATCACTCCCTCCCAGAGCTCAGGAACCAACCCAAACGACTAAAGCCAGAATGTGCTGCCCCCACCCTGGGATGGCAGACAACTGAGGGGCACCGGAGCACTCACCTCAAAGAGGGCATGCCAGTTAAAGAAATCATCAGTCTTGAAAGCCTGTGGAGGAAGAGAGACAGCAGAAGCAGGTCAGCTCTGGGGAGGCCAGAGCTTAGCCCCCAGCCCTCTGGAGAAGGTGAAGGAGCCGTAGTAGCTTTGCAAGCTCTCTATAAGGCGTTTATCCCCTCTGTTATGAGGACATTCGTGGGGGCAGCACCAGGGAAGTATACTCACAGATCGCAACTTGTCGATGTTCAGGAATGGGGTGTTAAAGGCCTGGGCAGAAAAGCAGGGTGTTAGGAAAGTTGCTAAGAAGCACAAAGAGAGAGACAGGAAAAACTCTCGGCTGGAGGGCCGGGGAAAGCAGATGCTTACCTCGGGTCGTGACGCATAGTTGTCAATGGTGCCTTCTTCCTGGAAAGGCAGAGGGAGAAACAGAGGCAGAAGGTCACAGGCTGGCCCTTGCCCACATCCCTCTCTGCCAGCTCTGACTTCATCCACAGGCCAGACCCCGAGAGAACGCAACCCGTTCTCCGCCGTGGGCTCCGTTCCAGTCGTGCACGTGGTTGGCGGATGTGCAGGGTAAGGAGGGGGATTGGAGAATGGTCCATGTAAGCAGTGTCACGATGGGCAGCAGGCAGAAAGCCTGGAGCTGAGAATTCCTTTCGGGAAATGCTAGCTAGCGTTGTCCTGAAGTGGACTTAACTCTAAGAGTTGGAGTGTTCTGGAGACACCCATACTCAGTCCATATACTGGGTGGGAAAGATTCATGTGCAGGTGGGA